ACACACACACACACACACACACACACACACACACGAGGTGGGGGGGGGGCGGGGTAGTAGCAGTAGCAGCAGCAGTATAGGAGGGAAGTCATTCAAAGTTTAAGGATTTTTTTTTTTCTTAATTTGAGCCTGTCTTTCAGATTTTTTAAGTATTTCTGTAGGATTTTCCCCTTATTTCATTTCACATGCACAGAATTAAATAACTTAGAATCCTTGTTGCTGATACCAACTCTCTTGCATGAGTTGCTATCAGTTTTGCTACATAAATGAAGGGGCAGGGGTGGGCAAAAGCTACTGATTCTGAGAGTTCAGCTTCCTTTTGCCCTGTTTCTCCCCAGTCATCCTGCAATTGTGCCCTAATCAACCAGCATTAATACAGATGCACAAAGGTATTTATTTGCTGCTGATCTGACTAGCTGTATTCAGACTCGATCTCTATGTGTATTTAATAAATCACACTAGTTAGGTGGATAGGATTAGTTTCAAGTCACCTAATGACTATATCATGAACTGTGGCATTAAAGGGATTAATATTAATCTGAGCCACTGCAGTTCAGTGGAAAAGGCCAATCCATTCTTCAATAGTAGCTCCAGTCGGCAAGAAATCCTCAACAAGACCAGGAAGATTAATGAGGGCTTCTACACTCTGCCTGCAAATCTTCACCTACCAGGATGGAGAGTAGTGAATCCCAGTCCAGAAGAGCTCATAAATAACCTTCAATATCACAAGTATTTGGGGCAGCTGAGCCCCAGTGAGGGGGGGCCAGGCAGCTTGCTCATCATCTTCTTGTAACCCACACCATCAAGATGGCACAGGAATTTTATGGGCCCACACAGCAGCCAGTTTTGTTTTCTTTCATGTAAGAGCCCACACCTCATAAATCACTTTCCTATTTCAGGAAAAGAAGAATACTAACTGCAGTATGAATTTACTGTGTCTACTCAGAACACAAAACTTCTCACTAGAGTATGGTTTCCCTTCCATAAAAGTGGAAGAAAAACCCAATGTCTATTATACATGGAATACGCTTTCAAGTCATGAGATCTTTCCTTCATTCACTGTTCAATTCTTCCTTAGTGTATACAAAATGCTAGGCCAGCTGGGTCACTCTTGATTCACATTCAGAACTATGTTTTTGGTCTGTCAAAGCGAGCACACACTAGGAAGACTGTATCTCTAAGACAACCAGCATTTCCTCATAGACTGGCCCTAATTTCACCATTTTAGAGACCACCAAGACAAACCCACCCAGGCAAGCTGAAGAGTACCACAGGACAAAACACAGCTTAGAATTTAAACTGGCTCAGAAGCAAGTTCATGGTGCCAGTACACTATGCAGATTGAGAAAACATTAGGACACAACCATGTCAAATCACTAAAGACCCATCCTCCTCCATGACTCTGAGGACAATACCAGGTACAGAGTTGCATGGCAAAGCTCAATCTGTTAGGGAAGTCAAACTGAAAAAACAGTATCAGCTTCATAATTTGGGAATACCATTAAGTGTGGGTTTATTCCAAATTAGACCCTTGTAATGGATGCAACTGCCAAGCAAAATAATTTTCTTTCTTTTTTCAAGACAGGGTTTCTCTGTGTATAGCTTTGCGCCTTTCTTGGAACTCACTCGGTACCCAGGCTGGCCTCGAACTCAGAGATCCACCTGTCTCTGCCTCCTGAGTGCTGGGATTAAAGGCGTGCACCACCACCACCCGGCCAAAATAATTTTCTTGACAGTTAAAAAAAGGCAAGTCTGTCTCCACTATAGTTCCTGTGACTTCCTTCACTTCCCATTTCCTACAGCTTCTCTCCTGGTTCTAAGGAAATAGATCATGTCCCATGGGAATACAAAGCTTTCTCATCAGAGCAGAGTTGACTTAACTTGAAGTTTATGCCAGGACCCTCAGGACAAGTTGGGACAATAATCAGAAGTGTAACCACGCTACGATCACGTGAATACACCACAATAATCTGCTTGAAGCTCCAGCCTCACTAGGTGACTAGGAGTATTTATAGCACCTACTCTTGCCAGACATGCCAGTCCTTCTAACAAGAAGGTCCTCTAATCATCAATGGAAAGATGTTCCCTGATAGGAGCAGTTACATAAGTCTACGCAAAGGAGACTTCCGGCAGCAAGCTTTTTTTCTTCAAAGCACCCTCCAAAGGAGAGCACCCCGAACACTGCTGAGTCCCCAGGCCATCATGTACATGAGACAGGGGCATCCAGCAGGATGCATCAGGCTCTAGGAATGCTGAAGTCCACATATTTGCCATTCAACACCAAAATGGCTTTTCAAGTTCAATCAGCTATAAATGTTGCTTTGTTTTAATTTTCCACTGAACTTCCTGGAACCTATTATCCAACTGTCAGGGATGTATATTTAGCAAGAGCAACATGGCCTCTTTGCCACTGCCCCACTGCTCATGTCACCTCCAATAAATAGAAAACCAACTCCTCCTTCAATCTCACTGCAAATGTGGCTTGTGATCAGTAAAGAAAAGTCTTGGTTTAAAGACCACAGTCTGAACAGTAACTCCCTATAGTTAGGTGCAAATCTCCATCCTCTAGGCTAATGCTGCTGCAAGGTTTACTAGTCCCAGGTAAATCTACTATATCCACTGGAACACAAATCTGCATGCATACCTCATTTTAGGGGATGCTAGTAATAGAAATGACCTAACAGAAACCTAATACAGATTAATAGGAATCTGTGCTAATATAGGCATGGCAGACAGGCAATACCAATGCAGTGTATCATATTAATAGGAAGATCTGAACAACCAAAATGCAGGTTAAGAAGAATAAGCAGGCAGATACAGCTTCAGTTTCATCTTGGGTAGTTAACTTGAAAATGCAATCTCTTGGGAACAGAAAGCATGAAACACAACTAACTTTTTCCACTTTGTCAAGATTCTTTTCAGCTATTGACATTTTTTATTCTGACATCAAACAATAAGAATAGATTTCATCTGAATGGAGAATACAAATACACTATTACCTTTCCAGTTCACCATTTGTATCAATTACAAATTCCCCTATATCTTCTAACTATCCACATGGTGTCCTTTTCATTCTACAAATCCAGCATAATTCTTCAAGCTCAACAGAAAAGATGAGGCCCGTATGTTGTATGTAAAATACAGTTGGTCATATTTCTCCTAAATTAAACAACCACAAACCAAGAACCAAAAATAGGAGATTTTTCCCATAACCTAGAAACATAAAATAAACTAAACCAAAATTGGAAAATAATTTTTTAGCCAGGAATGGGGGTATTTTTCTGAGGTAAGATCTCATCTATAGCCCAAGTTGGCTTGGAACTCACTATCATAAACCAGGATGGCCTTTAACTATGAGCAATGCTTTAGTTAGTGAGAGCCCAGCTCTGAATCTCCAAATTTAAGCCCTTCCCTATCTTTTTAAGAAAAAGAGGGTTTTGTTTTATTTGGAATAGAAAAAACATAAATTAAGAAAAATTAAGAAAGAACTCCCAAGAGGAACATCAAGGGAAGAATATTCTTTTTAAGGAAAAAATTTCCCCTCAAAATTTATTTAGTGTGTGTGTATATGTGTGCAAAATTGCCTGTGTGCAAGTGTATGTATGAGTTGGTGAATGTGTATGCATGTTTGTGTATCCCCCCTCTCTGTGTATGTGTGTGAATATGTGTATACACCTATGTATATGTGTATGTATGTATGTATGAATTGGTGTATATATATATATATATATATGCATGTTTGTGTATTCCTCTGTGTGTAATTATGTGCATGCATGTATATGCCACACTTAATATATAGTTGCCCACGGAGGCCAGAAGAGGGTGATGGTCAGTTTCCTTGAAACTGGTGTTACAGACAGTTGTGAGCCATCAGATGTGGGTGCTAGATATTGAACTCAGAACCTCTGGCAGATCAGTAAATGCTTTTTTAAAAAAATATTTAATTTTATGTGTATGGGCCTGAGTGTATGTATGTATACCATATGTGCTTAGGCACCTACAGAGGACTGGATCCTCTGGAACTGGAGTTACAATTATGAGTTGCCATATGGATGTTGGAACCAAATCTGGATCCTCTGCAAGAACAGTAAATGCTCTTAACCACTGAGCCATCTCTCCAGCTCCCTTAAGGACATGTTTAAGTTGAAGTATATAATATCCTAAGTATATAACTCAATCAATTTTCACTTTTACTTTTCTACTTTAAACTACTGGATCCAAAAAAAACAAATCATGATTTCTCATAGTTGCAAAGGCTCTAAAAGAAACCACAATTGTGGCTTCTAACATTAATGGACAGTTTTGACTACACTTTATATAAACAGTTCTTTAGTTTCTTTGGTGCTAGAGGACTAACCCACAGACTTGTACCTGTACCACTAAGCTACATCCCCAGCACTAATCTACATAAATAATAGCACGCAATTGGTTTTTATGTTGGCTTTCTTTCACTCCACACTGGAATCACTTACCAACATGAGAAAATTTCATGTATACTATAATACACTACAGCCCAATAATTTTATTTTTTTTAAAGATTTCTTTATTTATTATGTATACAGACCCCAGAAGAGGGCATCAGATCTCATTAGAGATGATTGTGAGCCACCACGTGGTTTCTGGGAATTGAACTCAGGACCTCTGGAAGAGCAACCAGTGTTCTTAACCTCTGAGCCATCTCTCCAGTCCCAGCCCACTAATTCTTATTGCTGCAAAGTATTCCACTGTAAGACTACACTGCATTAAACCACCAGCTGGGATCTGGTCACGATGGGAGAGCCTGCTGATACCTAGGGTTTTCCAGTACAAGACCATACTCCAGGAGGATCACATCGCAGCATGCCTTCATATCCACCAGCGCAGCACCCAGAGAGCCTCCAATAGATACAGAATACCCAAGAAAGTTGGGCCCCCAATTTCTCCAAGGTCCCCCCCACCCTACCCCGCCACTGCATCCAAATCCTCAAATGTCTTCATACGTACTAAGAGAATCCCCTTTCCAAATGCCTCAACAACTTGCAAAAGACTTACGTCTCCAAGTATCTCAAAGTCACCTAGTGCCCCGAGGAATTCCAGTGCAATCAAGCCTCCAAAGTTATCATCCAGGCCCTATGAGCAAACTACGTTACCTACTATCTCAAAGTCCCCTAGTTCCTGCTGGAACTTCAGTGCAATCAAGCTTCCAATGGCATCCAGTCCCCACTGGCAAACTAAGTCAGCACATGACTCAAAGTTCCCTAGTTCCTACAGGAGACCCAGTACAGTCAAGCCTCCAAAGACATCAAATCCCAGCAAGCCATCAAAATCTCCAGATGTCACAAAGTCCTCTAGTTGCTGAAGCAACTTCAACACAATCAAACTCCAATGGCACCTAGACCCTGAGAGGGACATAGGTCCCCAAGTGTCCCCAGGACCATCAATGAAAACAAGTTCCTATATGTATCCAGGTCCCCTAATGTACCCAGGTCTCCCACCACTGGGAACCCACCCAGTGAACCCAAGTCCCCAGTTACCCTCATGTTCCCCAGGGAGTCCTGGTTTTGAGGATTCCCTAGACTTTCTGGAGCCCTCAGATATATACAGCAACCAGAAAGTTCCCCTCAACTCTCCGGAGAGACAGAAGAAAACACGCACTGCGTATTCAAAGCGAGAAAAGGGGCTGCTGCAAGAATATTTCAGTAAATGCATGTACCCAAGCCGGGAGAAACGCATGGAACTGGCACAAGAGATGGGTGTGACAAAGCAACAGATCCAGATCTGGTTCAAGAACCAACGGGCCAAGCACAAACGGAAGAATGCTTCAGAAGGAGTGCCAGAGACAAGTGGAAGTTGTAAAGGTGTTTCAGAGTCAACCGGTTCCTGTGCTCCCTTATCTGTACTTGCCTCAGCCAATGGAGAGTCCATGTCTCCAGGTACATCTGGTGTGGGCTCCATTCCCAACCTCAACCCCTGCCTGGAAGCTTCTCTCCATGGTGATCAGGTCTGCAAGGGTGCCAGGTGTAGTCCCAAAGAGAACCTGTTTGATTTTGAATCCCCACTTGCAGCTGCCCACCCTGGCCAACCCGAAGCAAATGAAGCCCCAACTGACCCAGCAGTAGCTGAAGGTACAGCCTCAGCTGAAGCTCCACTTCCCATGGCATCTGCACCCCAAGAACCAGAGGATGCTCAAGACTCAGATTCATCTTCTGAGAAGCTCTGGCAACAAGTCCTTAAGGACTTGGACACATTAGAGGACTGTTAGACTTGGCCCGACATCTTCTGTGAATTTGCCTTTTCCCAATTTAATTGTCTCAGTTTTTGTAATATATAAAATAATCATATAAATATACCCCTATATAGACCTAGTGTTTACATATGTAGCCCAGGTTGGCCCTGGGTTCAGGTAATACTCCCCCTGCCTCCTGAGTGCCTCCTGAGTGCCTCCTGAGTGCCTCCTGAGTGCCTCCGTATGTGTGAAACATGCATATTTTACTATGAACTTATTTTCATAACTAATGAGTCATTTATTCTTTTGCTTTAAATAAAGTGTTTTTTGACACACACTAAAAATGCACTGCATTTTATTTATTTTATTTCTGATGGATATATAGCTAGTTTACTTTTCTTGAAGTTCCTATGAACAGCACTGCTATAAACATCCTCAAACACATCTTTTGTTAAACATATGTACGAGTTACTATTGGGCATATCCTTAGACACAGAATTTGCTGGTTCATAGAAATTCAGCCCAAATAGAAGTAGCCAATTTACAATTTACTTTCCAATTTACAATTCGCCCTCAAAATGATATGTGTACATGAGTGCAGGTGCTAAAGAAGGCTAGAAGAGGAGGCTGGAGTTACAGGTAAGCTGCCTGATCTGGGTTCTTGGAACCCAGAACTATGGTCCTCTCCAAGAGTAATATTCTTTAACTGCTGAGCCATGTCTCTAAAACCCCTAATCCCCTCCATTACATTTATTGATTACTCAGATACCTTCTATAACAAAGTAGTCATCTTTTGCCCATTCTTCTATTAGTAAATTTGCTGTTTATAAAAAAAATTGATTTATACAAGTTCTATGGGGACCTTTTTACTTGCTAAGTGTTGTTAACGGTCTCCTATGATATTGAAACATTCCATCCTGCAGGGAAGCTCCTTAGCAGGAAGGTAAACAACTCAAAGGAACTTCAGGAAGTCCCTGAACCTGACCAGACTCACTAGGCTCCTCCCTGTCTGAGTAAGCAAAAAAAGTGGAGAGTCCCTCTGGGAGGAAGAGAGGCCAAACTGCACGAGCTGCAAACAGTCTCACAGCAGACCTTCTGCCTGGAAGCAGAAGAAACCAGTTGAGCTGCCTAGGAGAGGTTTAGACCAAATGAGGCACCAGGAAAGGATACTCTCCAACCTGTTGGGATGCCTGCAGGCTGTACAATGCCCTCCAGATGCCCAGTTTTGTGAACTGTCACCCATGTTTCAGTGGGCTTTGGCAATAAATGCAGCTGTCTGTGAGTCATTTCTGCTCCTGTAAGTAACCCTCACCCATATTCCTGTGAGTAACCAGAATAAAACTCATTGGTTCACCAAGTTGGACTTTGCTGGTGTCTTAGTTTAGGGTTACTACATGACCAAAAGCAACAGGGAGAGGAAAGGATTTGGTTTATACTTCTACATCGTAGTCTATCAATGAAGGAAGTCAGGACAGGAACTCAAACAGGGCAGGATCCTGGAGGCAGGAGCTGATGCAAGGCCATGGAGAGGTGATGCTGCTTACTGGCTTGCTCATCATGGCTTGCTTAGCCTGCTTTCTAAGAGCAACAGGACCATTATCCCAGAGATGGCACCACCCACAATGGGCTGGGCCCTCCCCTAACAACCACTAATTAAGAAAATTCCCTAAAGGCAGATCTTATGGAGGCATTTTCTCAATTGGCATTCCTTCCTTTCAAATGACTCTAGCTTGTGTCAAGCTGACATAAAACTAGCCAGAACAGGTGGTACCCATACTTTGGCCTGTCGAGGTATCCCTATCTGAGATGAGTAGGTGTGTGTACTGCGTTTCCCCAGGAGAAGTTTTGTCACACAACACCAAGTTTGTGACTGTCCCTAACAGTCTTTCTTTCTCTCCCCCTTCTCCCTCCCTCCCTCCTTCCTTTAAATGACAGATTCTCACATATAACCGGGGGGGGGGGGGGGGGGGGGGGGGGGGGGCACAGTCTTAAACTCCTTCAATTCTGTACAGCCCAGGTTACCTAGGAACTTGCAGTCCTCCTGCTTCAATCTCTTGCTCTATCTATCTGTCTCTGTCTTCCTCCCCCCTCCCTCCCTCCCTCCCTCCCTCCCTCCCTCCCTCTCTTTCTCTCTCTTCTTTGCTGTGCTGGAGATTGAACTACAGCTCACATGGAGTCAAGTATCAACCGCTGAGCTTTGTTTCCACACCCCTCCTAACATTTTTGAAGTTTTAGGGATTGAATCCAGGGCTTCTATATGCTAAGCAAGTGTTGTAACATTTAGTTATATATACCCTCAGCTCCCCTTGTCCCTCTGCTGTTTCATATACACCTCCAGTATCCTCTAGATACAAGCTCAAACGAAGCTTGAATTCTGATTTACAAACAGCATTTTTGTTTCTTTGGTTGGTTTTTGGTGTTTCAAGACAGGGTTTCTCTGTGTAGCCCTGGCTGTCTGGGAACTCACTCTGTATACCAGGCTGGCCTCGAACTCACAGAGATCTGTCTGGCTCTGCCTGCGAGTGCTGAGATTAAAGGCATGCACCACCGTTGCCTGGCACTGTTTGTTTGATTTTTTTTTTAAAGATTTATTTATTTATTTATTTATTTATTTTTATGTGTGTGTTTTGCTTGCATGTATGTATGTGTATCACATATGTACCTAGTGTCCTTGGAGATCAGAAAAGGGTGTTGGATCCCATGAAACTAGAGTTAACAGATGGTTTTGATCTGCCATGTGGATGCTGGGAATTGAACCTAGGTCCTCTGAAAGAGCAGTCAATATTCTTAAGCCCTGAGCCATCTCTCCAGCCTCCCAGGCATACATTCCTGAGTTAGATGTAAAGCTGGTCTTGTTTCTTCATTTACTAAGTCACTGACCTGCAAACTGAACCGTGTCTCTGAAGTGCGGACAGCAGGTAACTGCTGACATTTTGATAGCCACATCACATTTCAAGAGTCTATGAGAAGTCCTAGAATGACCATGTAAAGCTAGCCAAGAATCTCCTTGCCATGGACAGATGTTACTAAGTTTAGCTGACATTAAGTTGTAAATTATTTGAAAGATGGAAATGGATTCTCCTTAGAGCCTATGTAGAATTTCCATTTATTATCAGACACATGAGCTGTGAGTGTTTTTGACATAGGAAATGGATTACCATCTCCTTTTTAAAAAAAATAAAAATTGTATTTTTGGGGCAGAGGCTTTCAAAACAGGGTTTCTCTGTGTTACCCTGGCTGTTCAGGAACTTGCTCTGTAGACCAGGCTGGTCTTGAACTCAGAGATCTGCCTGCCCCTGCCTTTGAGTGCTGAGATTAAAAGTGTGCACCACAACACCCGGCAGTAGTTAAGGTCTTAATATGCTATAACTTTTGTTTGTTCGGGATTTTTTTTTTCTTGTTTTTAGATAGGGTCTCATACATTAGCCCAGGCTGGCCTGTAAATTCATTATGTAGTGCAGTCTGACATCACACTTGAGGCAATCCTCCTGCTTCAGCCTCTCTAGTGCTGGGATTACAGGTGTGTGCTACCATGCAAAGCTATAATTTTCTTTACAATGCTATGATTTTGTCTTCAAAAGTCCCCACATGATGATGACTATGATTGTGAGGTATGAGCTGTAAGCATGTATTCAAAAAATAGTACATACCCCCTTTTCTAGGCTGGAATATATACTAGGAAAAATCAGTGAATATGAAATATAGCTTAAGACTCTGCCCTCAGGTATGTATTGGCTTACACTTAAACCTTGCTGTTCTATTTGTATACATTTGCAACTTATTTATTTATTTATTTATTTACTTATTTATTTATTTATTTATTTATTTATTTATTTATTTATTTATTTATTTTTTTTGGTTTTTCGAGACAGGGTTTCTCTGTGTAGCTTTGCGCCTTTCCTGGAACTCACTTGGTAGCTCAGGCTGGCCTCGAACTCACAGAGATCCGCCGGCCTCTGCCTCCCGAGTGCTGGGATTAAAGGCGTGCGCCACCACCGCCCGGCCCTTATTTATTTATTTTTGAGACAGGACTTCTCTGTGCAGCCTTGGCTGTTCTGGAACTTGTTCTGTTGACCAGGGTGGCCTTGAACTCAGAGATCTGCCTGCCTCTGCCTCCCTGTGCTTTGTTTAAGGATATGTACCATTATGCTCAGCTTAAGTTTATCTCTTTTTCAAAAATCACTCTTTAGTTTATGTGTATGGGTATTTTGACTGGTGTCCATGGAGTAGAAGAGGGCATCAGATCCCCTAGCAATGGAGTTAGAGACAGTCATAATCTACTGGGGTTGCTGGAAACTGAATCTAGGTTCCCTGGGAGAGCAACCAGTGTTCTTAACCCTGAGCCATATCTCCAGCCCCATAGTTTATTGCTCTTAGAACTCAATCATATATTCATGTGGAGATGTCATTATGTACTCTCTAAAGGCAGTGACTTTGAAGTCAGAAAAACCCAGATTTAAATCTTAGTTCTAATGTGATCATAGGAAATAAATTTTTTAAGCCTCAGTTTCTACATCTGTAACATAAAGAAAGACAAAAGGCCAGGCCGGTGGTGGTGCATGCCTTTAAACCCAGCACTCGGAAGGCAGAGGCAGGTGGATCTTTGTGAGTTCGAGGCCAGCCTGGTCTACAGAGCAAGATCCAGAAACGGCGCAAAGCTACACAGAGAAACCCTGTCTCGGGAAAACCAAAAAAAAGAAAGAAAGAAAGAAAAAAACCCAACCCTACCTCATAAACTTATTTAAGAATTATATAACAACAAGCAGAATACATTCAGGAATAGTTATGGAAATTTTTGAAAAAGGTTGAATACCAAGAGTATTTGGTTTGTATATTAAAAGATATCCTGCCAGGCAGCGTTGGCACACACCTTTAATCCCAGCCCTCAGGAGGCAGAGCCAGGCAGATCTCTATGAGTTTGAGGCCAGCCTGGTCTACAGAGCAAGTTCCAGGACAGGCACCAAAACTACACAGAAACCCTGTCTCAAAAAACAAACAAACAAGAGATATCCTAAGCCTGGGATATGGTTTAGTGGTAGAGTGCTTCTCTAACATGCATGGGGCCCTGGGTTCCATGCCT